GGCGGCGCACCGCGGAGGAAGAAGAGCTAACGCGAACGCGTACGCGACTAGAACTCGTGAAATCGTCGTAATACGACGAGAGTCAAAAGGGGTAATAAAAAGGGAGGAGAAGAGGTTAAAACATCAAACGTTAAATAATATAGAAAGAAAATTAAATAGACGATAATGCACGACGTAGATAATCGTAAAATAATAAAGTTTATTCGTGTGTAATCGTGTGATCGAGCGCGCCACGGATATTACTAGTAAAATAACTAGTAATATAGAGTGTTAGGTAGTGCGTGCGTGGTGGTATAGTAATAATAGTAGTGGTGCGTTGTCGTTGTCGTCGTTGTCGTCGTTGTCGTTGTCCGTCGTGTCGTGTCGTGTCGTGTCGTGTCGTCCCGACAATTTTCCCTCGTCGCGCGCGCGACCGTGGCACACGACGAAAAGGGTCGAAAAGGGACGACCGAGAGTGGTGCGATCTCGCTTGCGCGCGCGCACGCCCGACGAAGAAAGAAGAGAGAGAGAGAGAAAGAGAGAGCGAACGAACGAACGAACGAACGAACGGACTAGTGACTCGTAGGAGTAGGAGAAGGAGAAGTAGAAGTAGAAGGAGAAGAAGAAGAAGGTGGAGGAAGAGAGAAAGATAGAGATAGGTGAAAAGCGTTCGAGGAAGAGGCGAGAGGTAGCGCGAGCGTCGAATTTATACAGAGGAGGTGAAAAGAGAATCAACGACGACGAGAAAGGTGGACGACGTGTTGTGCCGTGAAGGAATTAATTTTCTTTTTTATTTTCAAACTTCTCCGTGAGTGCATACGTATATAAATATATATATATATATACATATATATACATTTATATATATATATATATATATATATATAGACACGATCCGATCGGTAATTTTCTTCTTTGGTGAGTCGTCGTGTCGTATCGTGTCGTGTCGTGTCGTGTCGTCGATGTTGTGTAGTTAACGGTGCTGCTGTTGGTACGGCGAAACGAAGAAACCCGAACCGCGGATCCGAAGAACTGTGGAGAAGAAGAAGGGAGAACACGAGTGAAAGAGAGAAAAAGAGAGAGAGAGATAGAGATAGTTAGATAGACAGATAGAGATAGATAGAAAGAGTGCGGTCGGTGCGCCTTGCTCGCGTTCATTCGCGTGTACGAACCGTCCCGAAAACGTCGACCTCTACCTCCCTCTCTCGGCTTACCGCCGAGTCGTTGCCGAGTTACTGCTACGAGTGTTCTCTCTCTTCAGAAAGAGAGAGAGAGAGAGAGAGAGAGAGACGGGATAAACGATTAGAAAAAGGACACACTATATATCTCTCTCTCTCGCCGTAACTACGTCGTTGATTCGAGAAAGAAAGAAAAAAAGAAAGAAAGGGGATTGGTGAGAGAAGAGAAAGAGAGATTCGTAGAGTGATTCGAAAAAAGCGGCGTTGGCTTTTCTAACCGGAGAGTGTTACCAGATTTTGACACGGTGCGTCGCTGGCGTCGTTAGCAGCGAAGAGAGAGAGAAAAGAGAGGCAGGCAAGTAAGCTCGACGCCTCCGTCCGTAAAATCGCGCCTTCGATCGGCGATCGCGCGTCGCTACTCCCTCCTCCTCCTCTTCCCTGTGTATCCTCCCCTCGTCCCTTTCCTTTCCCCCCACCTCTTGATCGGCACCACCAGTAGCAGCCACCTACTACTACTACTACTACTACATGCACTCTACTATTACCCGCTCTTCTCGTCCGTCCGTCCATCCGTCGCCGTCGTCGTCGTCGCCGTCGTCGTTGCCGTCGTCGTCGTCGTCGTCGTCGTCGTCGTGATTGCCGTCGTCGTCGTCGTCGTCGTCGTCGATGGTGGTGGTGGTGATGGTAGTGGTGGTAGTGTAGTGTGTCGTAACGCGGAGGTGTGCGTGCCATCTTCGTCGTCGTCGTCGTCGTCTTCGTCATCGTCATCGTCATCGTGCGTGTCCGTGTTGTATCCGTGTTCGTGTTCTCGTGTTCGTGCATGCGTGCGTACATAAGAAGAAAAAATATATAAAATTCGGTGATTATAAATTTGTTTGGGAATAAGAGAAAAGAGGAGAGCAACTACGGCTACTGTTGCTGTTATTGTTGCTGATAGTGCTGCTGGTGCTGCTGCTGTTACTGCACTCTGGTTAAAACTACTGCTGATTACTACTACTACTATTACTAGTACTACTATTACTGCTGCTGCTGCTGCTGCTGCTGCCGCTGTTGCTGCTGCTGCTGCTGCTGTTATTGCTGCTCGACTGCAATGTGATTATAGCTTGTTCCCCTGTCATTGATGTACGAGGTGGTGTCGTCTAATACGAGGACAACGCGTCGTTACCCGGTCACTCCTTGTGAGCCCTTAGCGAGAAGAAGGAAAAGGAAGCGGCACGGCCGGCCGACCAGGCGGCGGCCAGCGGAAGCAGCGCAGCCGCGGCAACACCGGCCCTGCCAGGTGGAGCTTCCTCAGCTCCCGGCTTCAGGATGAGCGGCCGACCGAGGACCACCTCCTTCGCCGAGGGCAACAAGCCGCCCGCGAATCCGCCCCTCGGCGGCATGAAAATCAGCAGTGAGTACCATCATACACGTATCTTCTACCATCCGCATCTTTTACTTCCTATTTTCTCTCTCTCTCTCTCTCTCTCTCTCTCTCTCTCTCTCTCTCTCTCTCTTTCTCTTTCTCTCTCTTTCTCTCTATTATACCACCAACCCTTCGCTCTTCACCCCACCCCACTCCACCCCTACTCCACTGTTCACTCCATTTACCCTCTCTTTCTCTCTCTATCTATCTCTCCTTCCTTCTCTATCCGGTGAGCACATCCACCCTACAACCACCCCATACACCTCACCACCACCACCACCACCACAATCACCTACACTTTCCTATACTACTACCAACCCTCTCTATGCTACTCTTCACCCTGGGATCTCTTATCCAAGTTACATACATTTATTGTGGTAAAAGTTTTTTAAGAGAAAAATGTACGACACCATTTGTTCCTATTTTTGGCGGCTCTTCATTTTCTATTTGACTACTATTACTACTTCTATTATTAACTACTATTACTATTTAGTATAATTACTCTTTTACTAACTTTTACTACTACTTAGTATTATTCATTAGTTCTTCTAGATTAAACTTTCGACATTGTTTTCTTTTTCTTTTCTTTTCTTTTCTTTTCTTTTTTTCTTTCTTTCTTTCTTTCTTTCTTTTTCTTTTTTTTTTTTTTTTTTTTTTGTCAATTACTTTTCCTATCGCCCCTCATGTATATATCGCTTTTAAATGATATTTTAATCGCCATTTCTTGTCTTTTACTTATACATCGATGTTCTAATTTTCTTTATCATTATTTAACGAGCTATGATCGATTATTAAGTACGCAATACTCGCGCAATTTTCAATTGAAATTAAGTTTGTTGCATAAGTACTTTTTAATGATGGAAAGTCATTGTTTATCTGTTCTCTCTCTCTTTTTTTTTTTTTTCTTCCTTTTTTTCATTTCTTTTCTTTTCTTTTATTTTTTAAAATACTTCTTGCAATTAACGATTATTCTCGTTCGTTTTTAATGATTACGTACGTTTAGTTAGGAAAATTTTGTTACCTTTATCTTCTAATTGCTTTTATTTATTTTTTTTTTTTTTTTTTTTTTTTTATCTTATTACTGTTGGCTACTTAACTTAGCGTATAGACGTCATAAATTGAATTGTGTTTCGTTATGAGAAACTCGATGTAATTTTCGACGACGTATCCACTTCGCTAGGTTTCCCATCGCCATTTCTTTTACGTATTGCGACGACTTTGAAGTCATCGCCGATCGATTTATACGAATTCCCAAACGCGTCATTCGTTAACATGTCTTTTTTTTTATTTTTTTTTATTTTTTTTTTTTTTATTATTATTATTTTTTTTTTTTATTTTTTAATTTTTCTTTTCTTGTTCTCTTACCTTTCTTTTTTTTTTTCTTTTCGGTATCAAATCAATGAATTTATCTATTATTTTTATATAATTAATAGATAAACGATAGATATAAGGGTAAACGTCATTATTATTTTTACAATTAAAATTGAATTTCATGGAATGATATAATTTTCCTTTATTGAAATATTATTAAAGAAAAAGGAAGAAAAAACGAAGTAGGAATCTTACAAAATTATTATATATTAATAATTAGAATTAATTATTATAATATATTGCGAATATAGAATATTTATATATATATATATTCCCTCCCCCTTTTCTTTTTTATTAAATTATTGCCATTGGAAGATACGATTCATTTTTAAGGAAAAGAATATCGCAAACGCATTTTACTGTAAATAATTTTTATCTTATTTCAATATTTTATCTAACAAATATTTAAACATCTAATATATTCCAATCTTTTAAATATCGCAAAAAAAAAAAGGAAAAAAAAAAAGAGAAAGAAAGAAGTTTTAAATAAAGTGTTGCGATATTGACTGTTGGTGATAACCGATGGCATTCAATTGGTTATTAGATAAAGATGATTAATTATCTATAGGAACTTGAGATAACGAAATATCTCGTGTTTCTGAATATATTTTCATTTGTTTTAAACGAAAGATACATTCAATGAATTTATAATCAATCTATAAATCTTATTATATATATAATATAATATATATGTATATAAATGGGTGCGCGCGCGTGTTCAGGCGAAGTTTAAGCTCACCACGTGCTGGTGAACGTACCGATGAGAGTAGCGCATTATATGCGTTGCATTCTTGGCGGCCACCTGATTTACGTACACGTCCCTCCTCAACAAAGAGAGAGAGAGAGAGAGAGAGAGAGAGAGAGAGAGAGAGAGAGAGAGATCAGACATCGTCGTCCACGGACTCACTTTTCTCTCTTCTTTAGTGTTCGCGAAGAGTGCGCTGCGTCTTGACGTGTTTGGAACGAGAGACGTGTTTGTCACGTGTGCGCGCACACACATACATACTACACTTCTTTTTATTTTTTTTTAGTTTTTTTTTATTTTATTTTATTTTATTCTGTTTTATTTTATTTCTTTTTTTTTCTTCTCTCTCTCTCTCTCTCTCTCTCTTTCTCTCTCTCTCTCTACAATAAAATAAAACAGTTTCGTCTTAGTTGTGACTTTGTGTTTAGAAGAAAAAATAAAGTAAAACAAAAAAAGAAAAAAGAAAAAGAAAAGGAAAGGAAGAACAAGGGAATGAACGATATTCTGGTGTTGTGGGCGTATATTTATATACGTGTATGTGTATGTATATGTGAAAGGAGGAAAAGATAAGAAGTGTTACAAAATACAATTTTCTTTTTCTGTCCTCTTAATTATTATTATTATTCTTTTTTTTTTTTTTTCACTTATTTTAATTTTTCTTTTTTGCTATTTTTAATTTTTGTTTCTTTTTTTATTATTATTATTATTTTTCTTTTTTTTTCTATTTTCTATTTTCTTTTATCTTTTTTTTTTTTCTTTTTTTGTTTTTTTGTTTTTTCGTGTCGACTACCAAGGTGTTATATCGAAGTGTGTAGTGTAGCTCTGTGTGTGTGTGTGTGTGTGTGCGCGCGTGTTCTCTCGGTCTTTATATCGAGGAAAAAATCTACGTAGATGCTGCAACCGGTTACCGAAGAGACTTGTAAGTCCTACGTGTTTTTTATTATTATTATTATTATTATTATTATTATTATTAGTTTTATTTTGTTGTTTTCTTTTTTATGAGAAAAAGATAATAAATAAATAATCTAGAATAGAGTGGATAAGCAAAAATGAAAAAAAAGGAGGGGGGTGGAAAGATCGAGAAGATAAATCTTAGAAATTATAAGAACGAGACATCTGTATATGTGCGAGCGCGCGCGTGTGTGTGTGTGTGTGTGTGTGTGTGCGCGCGCGCGCTTTTTGATTGAGAATATTAAATCAAATGATTGATTTTTATTGTATATATAAAAACGGTAGGTTATCGATCCTTTTATATTCATCAAATATGAATCATCATGTTTGAGAATTTAAAATAGAATTATATTCGTTATATTTATAATAGAGAATTAACGATTGAAGTGTTGACCTAATTTGACTAAATCAACTATTATAATTTAACGAACACTTTTTATTGTTAAATATTATTAATATTATCTATAATGTGTATAATTATATATATATATATATATATATAATTTTTAATTAACGTTATTCTAAAAAATTTACAACACAGATAATTCTATTGAAACATAATGATAATGATAATGATAATAATAATATTAGATTTATGTAAAAAAGAATTGCATTATTTACAGATAAAATAAGTATCGAACAGTACGATAAAAATCATAATTATTCTTGCATCATTCTAATGATCATAATAATAAAAGAAGAAATATTAATAGAAATACAAACATCAATAATAATAATAATAATAATAAATAATTTTATAAATCTTATTTAATTAATATGAGAAATCTCTATTAATATAAATATTAGGTTGGAAACTATGAAACGGGCGTTTTTGTTTAGTTATTTTCATTCGACGCCCGTTTCATAGTTTCCAATCGAATAATTGATAATATAAATAGAAAGAAAAAAAAAAAAAAGAAATAAAATTTGTTATTACGATTGATCAGAATATAATTTCCTTTGGTTAAACTCCTATAAGAAAATAAGTTAATGAGATAGATAAATAGAAAGAGAGAGAGAGAGAGAGAGAGAGAGAGAGAGAGAGAGAGAGGAGAGAGAGAGAGAGAGAGAGAGAGAGAGAGAGAGAGAGAGTCCGTAAGATATTAAAAATTAATAAGATAAGAGATGTAATAATATTAAATTTCATACACATAATAAATTTCCATTAATCAAGACTAAGAAAATTATAAATTAAAATGTCGCATAATATAAAAATATTTTTTAATTCGTTCAAACGCAATTCATTAAATATCTCGAAACAAGAAATATATGACTTAGATCACTTTCATAATTATGGGCACATATATAAAATTAGAATAAAAAATAAATCGATGCATTTATTGTTAGTAGAGTCATTTTCTCATACTCATCATTTTGCATCCCGGGCATCGTCGGTCATTTCGTCTCTTGGTGAAACACACTCGTCTTGCACTTTTATAGTTTCGCTTCACGTAGCTCTCCTGTCTTTTTCACGCTACGATCGTCTTTCGTTCCAGAATAGTTTTCCACGTCTCTATCTATCTCTCTTCTTCTTCTTCTTCTTCTTCTCCTTCTCCTCCTTCTCTTCTTTCTTCATCTTCTCTCTCTCTCTCTCTCTCTCTCTCTCTCTCTCTCTCTCTCTCTCTCTTTCCTGCGCGCGCGCGTCGTGTTTGCTTCTCACGAAGAGGGTCACGCTTGATGCTGCTGCTGCTGCTGCTGCTGCTGTTGGTGGTGCTGGTGCTGGTGCTGGTGCTGATACTGGTACTGGTACTGGTACTGGTACTGGTACTAGTACTGGGATACTCTAGTACTGCTGTTGGTACTGCAGGTACGATCGTACTAAAACGGAATAAATGCTTTCCTCGGGGATATTCTCCGTCCGTGGACGAATACTACTCTCAGGCCATCCGACCTCTTAAATTATTCCAAAGTCTTTTTCCAAGCTCACGAATTCCGCGTGAATAAAATATTCCTCGTATGTGCCAGCAAATATCGACCGTCTTGGACGGTAAGAGAAAGACAGACAGCGAGAGAGAGAGAGAGAGAGAGAGAGAGAGAGAGAGAGAGAGAGAGAGAGAGAGAGAGAGAGAGAGAGAGAGAGAGAGAGAGAGAAGATATAGATAGATAGATACGAGTAAAAAAAATGAAAGAGGGATAGAGGCTAGTCACATACAGAAAATAAAAGAGAGAGAGAGAGAAAAGACAGTCACATACATAGATTAAGAGAGAAAAAACTGTCACAGAAAGCAAGAAACAGAAAAGACACTGTGTGTAACATACAATGAATAAGAGAGACAGTAACATACAGAAAGTAAGAGAGAGGTAGAAATATGCATGGAATAAGAGAGAGAGAGAGAGAGAGAGAGAGAGAGAGAGAGAGAGAGAGAGAGAGAGAGAGAGAGAGAGAGAGAGAGAGAGAGAGAGAGAGAGAGAGAGAGAGAAGGAAAGATAGGTAAGTATAAAGAAAGGGTAAAAAAGAGATAGAGAAATATGCTAAACTGGATTAATATTCTAAACCTTAAGATTTTTATTTCCTCTCTCTGTCTCTCTCTCTCTCTCTGTCTCTCCCTCTCTTGCATATATTTATTTTTTCTTTTTTTTCTTTTTTTTTTTTATCTAGCTAGTCCAGTTTGCCTTCTTTCTTTACCTCTTCAAGATCTTTAAAGTATTATTGTATGTAGGTAGATATGTTACAAGGGGTGGGTGCATAGGAAGATGGAAGAGAGGGAGGAATTTTCTTTTATACGTATGTAATACGTATGTATGTTTATATAGGTCTCTCCCGTACTCGATATACATAGGTATATACCTTGGACGTTTCCCAAAGGTCTTCTTTAACCCACTTAACTGCCAAAAAAAAGATGACGCACGTTACGCTGCACTGCCGATAGATAATACGTCGTAAGCTTATCAAACGGATAGATCTATCTACGTATATATGTCCATATATATATACATACATACATATATATATATATATATATATATATATATATATATATATATATATATCTATTCGAAACGCATTAAAAGGATTTTATCGATGACGATTAGCGGTAACATAACTATCGATAGTTACGTTCGCCAAGCTTCTATAGAAACTATCGTAAATTTATTTCACCCGATAATAAATATTAATGAATCAATACGTTAATTATTTTCTTTAAAATAAATAATGTTAATATTATGTTAAAATATGTAAAATATTAGATTATTTTATTAGAATCCCGTTTATTGGTTCGTTCATTCGTTCGTTCATTCGTTCGCTCATTCGTTCGTTCGTCGTTAATGCATCAAATATTTTTTCCTGTCGTTGATAATCAATGAATTAAATATTATTTTTAATTCATTATTATTATTATTATTATTATTATTATTATTATTATTATTATTATATATAATAATAATTATTTATTAATTGTATAAAACAATTAATAATTTATTTAATTTATTAATTAATTATATTTTGAAATATAATTTCAATAGAATAGCGTATATACACCATACATAGAGACACGTGTTCGCATACGATATTAGATATTATATTAGAATTATTAATTTGTACGAAATAATATTTCGACGAATTATTGGACGCTTAGATTCGAT